TGGCATACTTTGTAGCACTTAATGAAAGGCGGGGGAGAGAATTGTCCTTTTCTGTGCATCTTTTGGGTAGGGGTAGTTGTGTGGATGTCTTTTTCAAAAATAAACAAACCCAGAAAAAAACCCTTCCTTATCTACTCATCTCTTCCTTCCTTCCTTCTAGGCTTTTTGGGACTAGGCAAGAAATAATGAATGTAAGTGGGACCAAGTGGGATGGGGTCTCCGCTGTAGGCCCAACTCCCCATCCTTTCCCTTCTGCCTCCTGCAAAAATGGAATTAAATATCAAGGGGAATTGACAGAATGAAAAAAATAATATCCAGGGGTTTGATTGACTTCTGTTTTAGCCCCTTCTTAGCTACATAGATGGCTTTTGAACTTTCTTCTACCAGACACGTGCAGTGCTCAGAGGCAGAAATAATGGTGGAGGAGGGTTGCAGTCTGGGAAGGATTATTTTTATTAAATTTAAGGTTTGACCTTTTCCTCTACCACTTATTTCCAAATGAAGTTTGGTTGGACTCTGATTTTAGCTTTTACAGCTGTCGCTTGTTTGAGAAATTTGCATCCTTGCATTGTAATATTATTTAGGATAACTCCAGTTGAATGCAGTGTTGCTTTAAAGTCATAATTTTTACTTTTCTGTGTAATGGAAGATCTAGAACTGCTTATATAGGAACTTCTGTCATTTAGCATAGATTATATAAATCAGCTTTATGAAAAGTTTAAAAGGCAAAGAGCCCCATTTATTGTTAGTCTCCTTCATGTGAAATACTGCCTACAAAACAGTTGTTCAGAGATGAAAATGACCAGGGAGTTTGTAGCAACAGTTTCTGTGTGTAGCTGGCTCACTGTTCTTAGTGCTCCCTCGTTCACGTTGCCCATCAGCTTGTGCTTCAGGACCGGCCGTTTCAATAGGGCTGCAGGAGACATGAACATTATTGGCTTATCGGCTCTAGCACACAGTAGGCGAAAACTAATTTAAGGTTTGGTGGCGCTCTGGGGATGTGAGTGTGGTTATAGTCAAAGCTGCTCTGCTAGACTACTGCCTCTTTATCTTTATTCCCAATTTCCCTTTCTTCTGTGTGCATCCCGACAGTCAGAACTGCTTATTTTATTGATCACAACAAAATGTTGTTTGTTAACGAAATGACTGAGCCAACCTTTGGGAGAACAAGCTGAATTCTGTATGCAGAGCTGCGCAGAATAATGAGGCTGTGAGGATCTTGTTGTACATGTTCCAGTGATGTAACCCAAGCAAAGCCAGCGGTTCAGGGCTCTGTTCCCAATTAGTTTTGTAGCTGAGATGGTTAAAAAGCGGGAACTTTTCATGATGAGTTTTGAATGGGTTGGATCTGGAATTGAATTCATGACCTTTTCATAGTTGCTAAAATATTGGAAGCCTTGTACCTATTAAAATGTGATCTGTATATTAATTTTCCTCTAAAGAAGATTAGCTATTATCAGTGTTTATTTTAAAAATTAAATTCATGCTGGCTCATGAAAAAGGAAAGAAAAAACACCCGTAGAAAAAAGAGGTTTCTTTTACCTTTGTGAGAATTTAGACTGCTCTGATTAGAGCTTAAGCCTAACAAAGGCTGTGCTTATTAAAAACAAATGCATGTCATATTAGTCATCGATATCTGGCAACCTTATGTGCTTAATATTTATAATGAACTCTGCTTATGTGGTCTCTGCTACAGAGAGTCTTAATCTTCTTGATTGTTCAAAAGAACATATTCTTTTTGCCAGATTAATTAACTAGTGTATTTAAAATTCTATCATAAACTTGATCTTTTATTTTTTTTTCTTTTTCTTACCGACAATGTATTGCCCTGGATTTTTAATTCTGTCTTTTGCTTGCTTTGTACCAGGATCCCAAGGTATGAAGTGGGTGTCCAGGTAGCAGGATTGTGCTCTGCTTAGGCAGCTGTAGGTCTGTGTTGTGAGGCCTAACAAGACACGGGAAGCAGAGTGACGATGGTGACTGAGATCTGCATGCTCTGCCATTGACAGATGGGTAATGTGGTCAACGGTAACCCACAGACTGGCACAGTGTGGTGGAGGAGAGAGAAAATCAGGAAAGACTGAAGGAGCGGCACCATGATTCAGGATGTAAAGAGGGCACTAAACGTGGCTTGCTTATGTACTTAGAGCCATCTGATGATGATTGGTGCTGGTTATTGGTTCAGGTCACTTCCAGGTTAAAACCAGTGCATCTTTCCATTACCAGTGTGGCCCTCAAGGCCGTTTAGGGAGTGTGACTTCATTGATTCTGGTGAGATGCGTTTAGGGAGTCTTCAGGCTCTTAGATCTGATTTGGAACTTTCTTTTCTACTGTGTCGAGACTTCTGCATTTGAACGGGCAATGTTGTCTGGTGACCCGTTCCCATATTCAGGAACTTTTCTGAGATCTAATCACTTAGTCCAGAATCTTGAAAGTATCTTCTTGCTCAATTCCCATAGAAAACAAAATTTGTGGGTTCTGTCTGCGTGTGGGCCTCCAGTCTTTGCGTCTTTCTCCTGAAGGTGAAAATGCTTGTTTAATGCTCAAGACTGAGTATTAACAAGAAGCACTTGGAGACTATAAGGTAGAGAGAACATTATTTACTGAGTTGGGATCTGGTTGCCTTCCTTTGTTACTTCTGCATCCAGTAACTTCTCAAAAATGCTCTCTTATGAGCTGTGCTAGAATATGGAGCAGCCTGGTAAAGGGGAGCTTGCTGCCAGATTGCAGCAGAGACGAGTAACCAGCTAAAGTAGCGCAGGACCCCCTGAATTTTCTTCCTGTGACAGATGGAGTTAATGACCTGAGAGCTGTTTGCACGGTTTATGCACAAAGCTGGTAATTTTAAAATGCCAGAGGATAGGAGGTGGCTAGAACGTGGAGAGATGGCTCTGCTTTCTTGAGCTGCAGATTCACGAGAAGGTAGCTCCCTTCGGAAACAGTTGGAAGCTTCAGGGTTTTTCCAAGCTGGTCTAGTTTGTGTGGTGGATGTTCTTACCTCCTTCTGGTTATGGTCAGGGCTTTGCCGTAGGGTACAGCGTACTCCAAGCTAGCAGATCACTGTGCAAGATGGGTGACCTTTGGCCCGTTCTTGGAACACCCCGTGGAATTAGTGATGAAAAACTGTTTGTCTGGAAAATAAAGCTAACAAAATCCTAGAGTTAGAACTCATCATAAAAATCTTTTTTTATATATCTGTTCTCATACCCTAAAAAATGGTTTAGGCCGTTTGCCAGTGCAGGCAGAGAGAGCACTGTGAGGAGCTGATTTAAGCTATCCCGGGTGGGGAGTTGTGGCGCCTTGCCATGATCCACTGGCTGCCCGTTCCTGCCTCTGTTGTATTTTGACTGTTCAGCTGTGCTAGCACAATTGTCTGTCTATCTGTGCTGTCAGCCGGATGAAATGCTGGGGGGGGGAGTCTGGAGCATTTCAGATATCTATGCAGGCAGCTCGGGAGCTGTCACAGCAGAGTAACGGAGGGCTACAGCAGAAGTTTTGGAATTTGCTAGCAGGGGTGGGAAGGTATGTGAACTGGAGCAGTGTGCTGTCAGAGCTGTATCCTGAAACAATGGCCTGAGCAGAAAAAAGCTGTAATAACACTAAGAGACGAGTACGATCCTTGGCCCTGGGAGAATGCTGGTGAGCTCATTCTGGAAGCGTGTAATGAGAAGAGTCTTCTGTAATTTGTTGTGGAGGGATCAGGAGTGTTTTCTGCCCATGTCTGCTTTTCTATAGGAAAAACAGATTGTATGAATGAGGAAGATAAATAAACCTGTACTTTGAACCGAAGTAGGAAATATTCTCAAGGTTGAAGAAACCTCACTGAGATTGCCTTTCTTCATTCTGCTCAAGCCAGAATACTGTTAGCTTGAATACCAAAGTCATATATGATACAGTATTTGCTGAGACTTAAGTTGTTTTTAGTCTTTTTTTCCCTTTAGTTATTTCTTGCTCTAGTCAGTAATACAGGGATTTAAGAAAATGTGTGTAGTTGCATTAGCTGCATAGTAAAGAACCTAGTATGACGCATCTTGTCGGAGTTGTTGATGAGAAGGTCTCATGGAGAGCCCGGTCTAGCGTGGCTGAGTATGAAGCAGCAGCCTGCTCAAGCAGGAATGGCAAAGAGGTGTGCCTCAGGATCAGCAGGGAGCTTCAGCCCCAAAGTAGGGTGACACTCCTACTACATACACGACATACCTTTTATTTTCACAATTCCTTTCAGTAAAGCTGGGTTTTGTGTGCTAAAGATCTCTCTGCACTAACATTTTTCTGTTAACATGGCAACACCTCATGTGGAGGCAGAGATTTTTAGCTCATCTTTTACTTCTCTTGCAATCTACTAGAACTCATTTTGCTGGATGAAGTTCTGCTTTGCTTTGTATCTTGCTTGTAGTATCAAATGTCTCCTTTTTTCCCCTTTTTGTGGCGAATGTATTTACGAATTAAATTGTTGAAATAGAACACCCTGTATGACCCCAACAGGGACTCCAAATAATTGTTTACTTTCTGTGTTGTTGGTTATTTGTTTGTTTGGGTTTTTTTTAAAAATAAAAATAGAGTAGGCTTATACTGTACACAGGCTTTTCTCAGGCAGACAGGTTGCCTGTTGCCATGTTCTTGACTGTAGTGTTTCTTGAAGTGCGGGTTGCAGCCTTCCTCTGAAAAAGGTTGAGTATGCAAGGGACATCTAGTTACCTCTAATTACTTGCAGTGGCTTGGGGCCTCCAAAGCAATGTGTAGCTGCTGACAGTCCCTGTAGCAATTTCTCATTTCCATCTCTAAGGAACTGAGCAGCTGCTAGCAACAAAAAGGCTTGGGGCTGTTTTGGGGCTGGGGAAGCAAGCTGTGAGTAGTAGAGTCTGAGGTGTTGTCAGCATAACTTTCTCCTATGTTTATCTGGCCACGCAACTCCTCTGGGTCCTGCCTGCAAGGCAACGTAGCAGCAAGGTAGCACTACTGCACTATGTAAATGCTGGTATGAAGATTTAATTTCAAAAATAATGTTTTTTCTTTTAGTTGTGTTGATTGGAGACTCTGGAGTCGGGAAGAGTAATCTTCTGTCACGTTTCACACGCAATGAGTTCAATCTGGAGAGTAAGAGCACCATTGGGGTGGAATTTGCCACCAGGAGCATCCAGGTGGATGGGAAGACGATAAAAGCACAGATCTGGGATACTGCAGGACAGGAACGATACCGTGCCATTACCTCAGCGTGAGTACTATGTCTTTGCTCAGTGTAACAGCAGAATTCTAGCAGAGACAGTACCAGTAAATTTATGGGTAGAGAACTAATGAAACATATTTGGGACACATGACAAAATCATTACGACAGACTTCAGTGTAGATCCAAATCATAAGATAGCAAATACTTCTGTGTTGCTTGATTAATATAATTAAAGTAATTTTTAGATTCTAATGATACTATTATAGAAAAAATGACAGCTTAAATGAAAAGTGTGGGAAATTCTGTTTGAGTCTTGTGATCTGTTTTTTTTACCTGCCCTGTATGTGCTATCTTCATCATGTGGAATGAGTGTCATTTCTGATGGAAGCTGGGTACTGTCTGGCATCAAGTTTTAGTCTAGGCATGACAGCTTACCATAATGCCAGTGGCTTCTGGTCTTCATTGCCCCCTCAGTCTTGAGATTGAGGGTATTTTTAGGGCAGTCTGCAGCCACAAACTCCCTTGAAATCTCAATGACTGAATTAGTCACAGCCCTGAAAATTAGGTCCAAGAGTCCACGCTGAATAACCGGTAAATAGAAAGGCACCTGTGATAATGCTGACTGCAGCACTAGGCACATCCCTATTTAGAACAGTGGTGTTGAGAAGCTTTCATGTACGGCACCTTGTTAATCCAAACAGTGTCTTGAGATGTAACCTCTGGGTGTACCTACTTCTGTGTAGCTAGTAGGCAAAAGTATCTTTTAGAGGAAAAAAAAGAAAACCCTATTGGCAGGCCTAGTTATCCAGCGCATAGTCTGATCAGTGAGTTGAAATTTTGTAGTGTTACAGATGTACATGAGTTTTTAAAGGCACAAACTTGTTTCTGAATCATGCACAGATTGAGCCATTTGTATTAAACTCAGGGTAAGGGGAACTTTTTTCATTGAGGTGAAATAGGGTAATGCAGAATAGGTGGGAGAAAAATAGAAGAGCATGGAGCTCAAAGGGAATAATCTATAGGGAAGGAATGCAGAAACAATGTAAGGCAGAAACAGATGTAAGTGGTGATTTCAAATTGCATCTTTTCCGTAATTGTTAGTGTGTTTTTCAGAATTTTTTTTGTGACCCTTAAATTGTTCTTACTGCTGTAGAAGCTTAGCAGAAAAACTGCTGGCTGAGTCTTGTTCAGCAACAGACTTGGCCGATGAGAATGAGTGCATCTGTAGTCCTGCGATCCTGCCTCTCCTTTGTACTGGCACGAGCTCTTGCTTGACACATTGCTAGGCCAGTTCAGCTTGCTAAGCCAGCAGAACGCCAAGCAGCAGTAAGAAGTGAATGTTTTCTGCTGACTTGATGCTTTGAATCAGTTCAACGAGATGTCCAACGGGGGCTGGTGGAGCGGAGGAGAAATGTTAGGATTGTGTGGAAGAGAGATATGGACGTTATAGGATTGCTGATATAGATTGGCTTGTGCTGTCTTGAGCCCTTGGAATGGGCCCAAACGTGCAGTGAGGGAGCAAACTCTGTTGTTGCATTACGGGCTTGTGGATAAGTGTCAATATAGCCCAGAGTTCCCCTCTTTAATTTCTAAGAGGGACAGGAGGCATTTGAAAGATCAGCAACAAATACTGACATTTTACTAAGGACTATTTTTCTGGCAGAAAGATAAGTTATAACTTCACAAAAACCTTCTAGCAGTACCAATTCTGAAATGCATTGTGAGTTTTCTTGCACACTGTTTTAGCAGACTGAAGATGTCATAGCTTCCACAGTCTCTTCAGCATTTTGTTACATACATTGGAATTTTTGGGAATGCCATTAAAAAAACCCCAGCATTTGGAACTTAGTTTTAGGCTTAAAAACCCCCCAACAACAGTATTTGCATCAGCACAACTTTTTCCAACGCAGAGGGAATGTTTTTAACTTTTTAGTAGTAACCAGTATACAAGAGCCAGAGATACCAGGTTTGTTGGTATAACTCAGAGCTCTCTGTAAAGGAATGTGCCTTATGGTTTCAGATATTACCGCGGTGCTGTTGGGGCTCTTCTTGTCTATGACATTGCCAAACATCTCACCTATGAGAATGTGGAGCGCTGGCTAAAGGAGCTTAGAGATCATGCAGACAACAATATTGTCATCATGCTGGTGGGTAACAAGAGTGACCTCCGCCATCTGAGAGCTGTGCCCACTGATGAGGCCCGGGCTTTTGCAGGTTTGTAGACAGTGTGGTCTAGGTTGGTGCTTTCTGAACTTGATGATGTTGGTACAAGCTGTAATCATGCTATTGTTGTCCAGGACTGAACTTTCACCTCAAGTTTTATTTTTGACCCTAAAAAAGGCATTCAAGATTTTTATTTTTTTTTAAATGAAAATATCTTGGCTTATTAAATAGCATGTGTGGTTGTTTTGGGGGGTGGGTTGTGTTATGGTTTTTTGTTTGTTTTGGGTTTTGTTTGTTTGGTGGGTTTTTTGGTTTTTTTTTTTAATCTAGTGGTAGTACATGTTTTTGAAACACTGTCCTTGAGCTGCCTGATAGCTGAAGATTAAACACTTCCTTTAGCAAGGCTAGAAACAGTAAGCAACATTTAGAAGAGAAAATGTCACAATAGAAATATAAAATATCACAACACAAAATCTCTTTCCTGCCTTCCTAGAGGCCCAGTTCTACTGAGCATGTATTGATGTGGACAGCTGTGAATGAATACTGAACCTTCCCTGAGATGGTCTAGTTTCTGCTCCAGAGCACTGATGCATATAGTAGTGTCATCTAGTTTCATTTAAATGCAGTGATCATCATACTTGGAGATTATCAATTGTTGGGAGAAATCAAGTGGGTTATGTGAGCCGCTGCCACTGCATTACTTCTCTCTCTTATCTTGCTGAGCACTGGTCAAATACTCTTTTGCCCTTATAGGCCTAGGGACATTCAGCTTACTTTTGTGTGGATATCAAGCTTGGGGGTGGAATTTAAATGTATAGCCGTTAAAATCCTTGTAGGAATAGTACTAGGGCTTGCTTAAACATGTTTTCTGAAGTTTGCTAGTAAGCTAGTACCCTGTGGTTTGTAAAACCACTTTAAATTTTCAGATGAATGAGAAGTAAAGTCTATATAAGAGAAGCAAAACAAGTTAGTAGGCACTCTAGATAGTGCATTACTTTGATCTCTTGGTTCAACATCTTATTTTTTGTCCCCCACTTCCTACTAAGGCTGTTTTAAATAGCTAGTGATGGTACAGGTGTTGCTGTTTTCAGTTCTGTGACTGAAATTTGCCTATTTCTGGGCAGGTGGTACAGTACCATTCCAGGTGTCATGTTTGGGTGTTAATCACAATCTTTTTTTTTTTTTAATTAAAAAAATATATCTTTTGCATTGTAAGAGGAAAGAAGAAAATAGACTGTATTACCAGGGGGTTTATTGTAATTTGGAGGTGGGGTCTGATTAGGAAAGTGTAGAAGTGTAGGTCTGTTTATCTTTTTGGAGTTGCAGGAATTGTGACTCCTGTTGCAGCCAACATGCTTTTGCCTGTGCTCTGGCTCAAGGTATTTCTAGGTGTGATCTGTAGCCAGATGAGAATAATATTGTACTGTTTGACTGAACAAGGGCTGCAGTGAGGAAAACATTCTCACACTATGGAAAGGCAGTGGTCACAGGTGACGCTGCTGAAATGCTAGCAGCTAAATAAATGGCACACCAAGTTGTTCCTAGTGTAACAGTAAAACAAAACAAAACAAAAAAACCCCAACAACAACAAAAGACTTAGCCCTGGCTGATTGGCCTAAAAATAAAGGTGAAAACCTCAAAGTAAAGGTGAAATAAAGTGCTATTAATTTTTTTAACTGAGCAACTTGTTATTTATTACAGAAAAAAATAATTTATCTTTTATTGAAACATCCGCTCTGGATTCAACAAATGTAGAAGAAGCCTTCAAGAACATCCTTACAGGTATGGTTTATTATGGATTCAGAGGACCTCCTGAGGTAGTGGATCATCTTCATGGGCATGTTTTGCAGTTATCTAGAATGTTTTGGAAATGAATGTTGGGAATGATGGTTAGTTTGCAAGCCTTCTAATCTTGCCTTTGTGTTCTGCCTCCCACCCCACGCATACCTTTCTGCCCAAGAATCTGGAGGTTTCTAGTCTCCTGATGTTCCATGAATTCAAGCTATTGCAATAGCACTGTTGTAAAGGCACTAGTAGTTCTGTGCCTGCACAAAATTTAGGCAGCGAAGCCACAGGCATGCTAGGAAATTAAAAGTTGCAGTGTGTTCTCTTGCACCAAAGCAGACTGGTACATAGTATTTTTGTCCAGACTACTAAACTCTTGTTCTCAGATGATGGCAAGGGTTGTAGGTGACTATGCACCAACAGCATAGCTGCATGCAGACTGCCTTCTGGGAATGTCCCTGAAGAGTCCCAGGAATTGTCTAAGAATGTGATAGTGGTCAGAGCCAAAATGAGGCCACAGCTTATGACTTCCACTGCCCAAGAATGTTCCTCAGCACGTGTAACTGCTGTAGATGTGGCTGAGTGCACAGTAGCTAGTACTGAGTGCTAATCCTTGGAAGCAGAGTCCTGGGAAGTATGGTGCTGTCACACCCAAGGCTGTCTGAAGGAAACCATCATGGGCCTGCAGGACTGCTGAATTGGAGCTGACAAACTCTGATGAACTTGAACGACTCTGTCTTCCACTCCGTGTTCTGCATGTTTGATGTTTCAAAGCATAGTCTTCCACTCCTAAAATGAAGTAATTGCTAATTGGCAAAGAACCCTTAAAAATCATACCTAAATAGGAAGAGGGCTATCAAACAGGTATTGGATTACTGTTCTACCTCTGGCTGCCCCATCAGATCTGAATCTTGTCCTAAAGAGGAGAAAACACCATATAATTTGTTAGGGTATTTGTTCCATCTCTTGAAAAGCTCTTTAAGATCCATAACGTGAACAGTTGGCAGGATCCAATTCCTGACTGTTGCTTACCATAGCTGAATTCTAGACGGATAAACTGTTTCTATAGTCTTACCCCTGTACACTGTTTTGTGAAGTTGTGCCTGATTTACATGTCCCGCAACATCTCAAGATGAGCATTTTCTGAGCTTTGTTGTGACCAGATACTGATTTCAGTCAGATGAGAATGAGCCTTTGTTCTGGTTCTGCTTGATTATCAGGAAGTGTCTGGTGTATGTTGCTTACTGAATGCTGACCGAAGAACTGGCTTTGTATTATTGTTTCTTGATTATGTATGCATGAGCCTATTACTAGGAAAAAAGCTGAGTTTTAATATGGTGAATTCTGTAAGGCAGACTCTTTTAGGTTTCTTTTGCAGAGGTGTGCAGGGAAGCAGTAAGAACTGTTGGGATCACTAGATCTGGTGCTGGCCAAATCTGTTGGTACCAGAAATGTGTTGCAATTAAAGGAAGATGACCAAGAAGAGGCAGGCAGGAGAAAAACGGTAGCCAAGCTGCTTCTATAAGTAAAAAGACTGACAGACTAGGAATGGGTTATATTTGCTGCCCAGCAAGATTTGCGTTAAGTTACTAGAGCTACTGGTGAAGCAACTGGAGAACATTGCTGTTGAGACAAAGCCATGGAGAAGACCGCCTGCTGCCTGAGCTGGGACTGTCTCTTGTGCCGGGCAGCCTTATAGCAGATTCACTGCTTATCTGTGACACTTGGCTGGATCTGAGGCAACTTGCCTGGCACTTTGAGATGGTATCCATGGTTTTAGTGCTCTGAGCGTAGTTCAGCGGTCACCATCCATCCTGTCTTCCCTTGCAGTGTTGTCCTGAGACTGACCCTAGGTAGAGAAGATGGCCTATGGTTGCTCTAGGAGAGAGCCCCAATACAGTGTGCTGTAACAGATAAGGTACTTAGGGAGCCAGAACTGGAGCTGAGGTCAGGCATGGGCAAACTGAACTCAAATCACTATCTCTTAGCAGTGTCCTGTGCTCCCAAAAGTGTTGAGATTGTCCAGTTCAGGTACAGTGGGGATGTGACTGGTAAGACTGAGTAGTCCTGAAAAGCCTATTCCTAAAGTGGTTACGTGGGGGACAATTATCCTTCTAAGGGAGAAGAAGAAACCTGAGAAAAATATGCTGTGTAGAGCAGTGAGTTGGGAGCAGCTGCAGGAGACTTGGAGGAGGGAAGAGGGTGGGAGAAGCAGGACAGGAGTTTCCTTACTGGCCACCAGTTCGAGCGATCACTAAAGACTGGGAAAAAAAACCCCAAACCAAACAGATGCTACCCTAAAGAAAAAGAGGGCTTGGCAATGACTCTGAACAGCTAGTATTAAAATATATCACTGAGCGTGAAAGAAGGGGGATGTGACAATCTCTGTACAGCTCTCCTCATGCCTTTCAGCAGAAAGAGCTGAAGGTAGCCAGTGGCAATGAGATCAGTCTTGGGTTAAAGGTTTCAATTTTAAACAATGTAAATATGTGCAGCTTCTTTAAAATAAATAAATAAAACCCACATAGTGCCCCATGATTTTTTTATCCTTATTAAAGATTTTGGGTGTTGCTGTTTTGAGGCTGTGGCTGTATGAATGTGACCGTAATATTTACCGCAGACTTCCAGGGAGGTACTTGCCCTTTTCCTGTCTCACAATGGAGGGAAGTTGGAACAAGGGCTTATAGTCAGTGACATAAGTAATTTAAAAACCTTTCAACTTAAATTATTTCTACTAACTATGCAGTTGAAATGGTTTGTTTCTGAAAGCTTTTAACTTGGCAGTCTCTCTTCAGCAGTTACAGCCTTGTGGATCTGTGTGCTTTCAGGAATAAATTAATTTGAGTCAAATAAATTAATTCTCTCAGGAAAAGTATTTTCAGATCAATGTGGGGCTTTATGGAGCCATGTGGCTTTTTACTGTCATAGGTGAGAGAACTCATTTGTAGCAGAGAGGAGTAGGCATTTCTGTCATTTGGTAGTAGCAGCTTGCCAGAAGCTAGTGTGAAATAGATACCGTCATTGCTGCTGCACAATGATGTTTTGCAAGCATCCTGTTGATTGGTGTTTCTAGATTACGTTGCCCTTTTCTTTAATCAAAAATATGATTCCCTATTTCAGAAATGAGCATTCCTGTTCCTTTCTCATTTAAAAAGCCTTTTAATAAGGCTCCGTGTTCATGGAGTTGTTGAAAAAGAACATGATAGGAAGCGCTGTTGTGGAAGACAGTAGGGAATCTTGTCTTAATAACTTTTTCAGACAGAGTTGGCATATCCATTACAGAGCTGGAAAGCCAGCCAGATGTTACATGCCACAGCTGGTCAGACTAGATTCCCTTTCACAGCTCTCAGGTTAAAATCTTCTCATTCTTGGGTTCTAGCATCTTCTTTGACAGCTTGCTCTGACATGTGCATGTGCTCCATTGGAGGTAATGTCTTTCTGGGCTCTAACAAATCTGTTCTCATTTCAGAAATCTACCGCATTGTTTCACAGAAGCAGATTGCAGATCGGTCTGCACACGATGAGTCTCCTGGCAACAATGTAGTTGACATCAGTGTCCCACCAACCACCGATGGACAGAAATCCAACAAACTCCAGTGCTGTCAGAACCTGTGACCTCCTGTAGATGACTCTTGTGCCCTTCACTTCGTCTGTGCTTCATTTAGAAACTTGTGTGCACTTCTTATCTCCTGTGATTCAGTGACACCCTCTTCCCTCCTTTACCCCATTCCCAAGTCCCCTCTTTCACCTTAGAGCTTTAATTGTAGGGCTAACATTCTCCTCCCTCTGAAATACCCTTCAATGTGGTGACTTTTGGGCTTGAAATGTAGGCACTGATCTGATAGACATGTTTGTGTTGGAACACCTGCTGCTGGATATTATCCCATGAAACACTCTCCTCAAATGGTTTTGGGGTTTTTTTGGTTTTTTTTCTTCTGGGAGAGAAACCATGGGGACTTGACTATAACTATATTGAAGAAATAACTACATTTAGGTGACAAGGCTTTTTCCTCCCATAGTCAGATTTTTTTTTTCTTGTGTTTCTGTAAACATGGGGGAGAAATTAAAAGAAAATAGCTATCCTACCAAATGCTCTGTTTTCTGTCCTGATAAAGTCTCACAGTGAGGTTTTTAGTGGCTGCACACAGGTAAGAAAGCTGTTGAAAATAACATTACTTAGTATGTAATTACCCCTAATACAGTTAGTCTAGCTGTGTAGTTTACTGTTTCCTGCTTGGGAAATCTTTCCCTATTGTTTTATTTGGGAACAATGAAGTATGTCTGCATTGCTTTCTCTGCCACCATGAATGCCTGTGCTGCTTGTGCAGGCTTTATGAAGTGGCTTAATATTTATTCATGGCTTATGTTAATCAGTTAACATTATTGTACAGTAAGTGCCAGCATATTGATTTCAGAAACCTTTTGCAACCTGTACAAGTAGGCTTATTTTGTACTGTAGATCAGTGTCTGAAAGCAGGATCTTCTATAGTCCCAGCATTTTTTTGCATGCTGCTTTTTCTCTAGATCTTTCCTACCCCTGTTTGAGTGAGTGAAGCAATATTTTCATGTCATGTATATACCTGCACTTGTAAGGGTTTTGGTTGTTGTAGAGAAACACAATACTTTATACATTTTGTAAAACTTCTGCATCTTGAACTTTCTCTTCATGATCTTTCACTATTGACCTTGTGCATAATCTTCTTGACCTCTACTAAAATGCGTAATATTAAGATTTCACGTAATAACTACTAACCTGTTGTTTTCCTCTTATTCTGTTTTACTGAATTGCAGACTGTAATTCTCAAATGATTGTACTTCACCTGATGTAACAAATTTGTCATCAGCAGGGCTAACTACTATAATACTTTGTTTTGGTGAATGGGAAGAATGTTATCACAACATGTGTAGTCAGTCTCTTGCTAGCTTGTGAAAATCTTCTATGATGGCTTTTCATCATTCACTAGCTCTTACACACTTGCATCCCCTCTGGTATATGCTGAATGTTATGGTGAGGCAAATATGGGGTGAAACGATCTAAAGGAAGAGTTGGAGACCATCTGCTGCTCTCTGAAGGCTAGTGAAGCAATTTGCAGTGAATTTTTGCTCCGTGTTCTGAGACTGTACGTCACTTGATGAATCCTACCTGCGTATTAGTGAGTTGATTTTTCTTTTCTGATACAAAGCAAATATGAAACTGTGAATTGTGCTTGAAGGGGAAATCTGACATTCCAGTCTCAACTGTTCTGTCTGGTTATGTAATAAAATTAAGGGCGGTTAACTCTGATGGCTTTTCTTTTATAAGATTTGCAGACCAATGCCTTTAATTTTGTACTGTATGCACCTAGAGGGCTGCAGTTCACAGCAAAGGGTGCACATGGTGCCTAGCACTTCCATTTTTCAACTTTGTTTAGAGGATACATTCAAGGTGAAGGGGTGTATGGTTGCAGCCTAGTCCCATTGAATCAGGATATAGATTCCTCTTTAGGCATCACAGTGCTTTGTCCTAAGGGTGTCCCAGGTCAGAAAGCACTTTCAACACATGGTATTTACTTCAACAGCATCCTCTGAGAGGAGGTGCAGCCAGTGGGAACTGGAGTAGTGTCCTTTTTGGTGGTCCTAGACCAGAATGTGATGTGCAGTCAGTATTTAGAAGGCTGGCAGATGAGCACACCATCAGAGAGAATGGAAAATTCTGAGATACTGAAAGTATTTCATTCAAGAACAGGTAGACACTAGTGGAGCTGGGCTCCTTAATTTTTGAACAAAACTTTTTATAAAGAAACAAGTTGAATAGCATGAGGAAGAATCATGCTGTTAAGAAGACTTACTAGTTCAGGGTGATGTATTAATGTGTTTACTCTGCAAATCCTGTACTTAACATGAAGTTTCTAGAATCAGTCTGGCCTGGTATAAGAAGCTGAGAAGCAGTTTAGTCACTTCCTTGTCTCTTAAAAGAGATTTTCTTTAGTCTTTGACTTTGTGGAATGCTCTGAACTTTGCCTCTGAGTCCCAACAAAAGGTTCATGTCTAGGGCTTAAGTGCTGTTAAATTATATGGGTATTGAAGAGACCTTGTACCACTTCATTGTGTGTTGACCAAAACCCCCTCAGAGCAGGTGGATCTTGGACCCACGCTGTTCATGCCAGGGCGATTGGGTTGTTTTGGAGACCTGTTGTGTTACGTGGAAAGGCCTACTGCCTTTTGCTGCAGGACTGTTTGGTATACCCAAGACATGGGAAGCATGTGTGTGCTTGCACATACATAGCTTATGTGAGCACTGTAAACTAAGTGGTGGTTTTATCTGCTGTGGTCACTCAGTTTATTAGACTAGGTATTGACTCTTGCCCAGTTTGCTGTGCTGCTCTCCAGGCAGTTAGAGACGCAGCCCTTCTGTGGGTTTGAGACGCTCTTGCCTAGACTAAGCACAGGGCCATTAGTGCCAATAGGAGAAGGACAGTGCACCAGTTCTGCCTGGTAGAACCATCTTCCTGTGCATAGACAGGGGAAAATGCTTTTGATCTTGAGTACTCTGGTGTCCTGCTGAAAGCATTATGCACTCCTCAGAAACTATACCTACAGCCCAACCCACTGTTGGTGATGGCTATGGAAATTGTAGAGGGGAAGACTTGGAGGAATCCTGAGGAAGTTTGAACTGTTGAAGAGCTGTCTGACATTCAAAGAAGCTCTCCAATAGGCCAGACTCCTTAACCATGCTTTCCTGATGTGAAAAGAACAGTTAAATGTAACCTCACCTGGACAGCTTCATACTGCAACTTCACTGGCTCTGTGTCTCTCAGTATTGCTGTCAGGAAAATAGAAAAGGTTCCAGCTGTCTTCCATCTGCTATAAGAGGTTTGAGTGCAGAATTTGGCTTATGTAAAACTCCTGATGACAGGAATGCTGCCTGTGAAAGAAGGAACATGTGCTATGCTTGCCTTACTTGGGTGTTGAGGATGACTTTCACTTAACTATTGAAAAATAACACTAAAAAGCACTGGGTGCTTACCGCCCAGTGTCAGTAATACAAACCTCAGTTGAAGGCTCCTGCTGATATTTAGAACAGGTCCTCCAATGCAGTATTAGACAGGAGTCTTTTCTGCTAACTACTCTGTTTATTATGGGGAGAGTAAAGGCCAAAATTCACACATAAAAATGATTTGGTGGTGAGCACACAAACAGGTAATTGGTAGAATAAATTCATTGAGTAGACTGCCTCAATCTAACAACTTTTCTTCCTGTTGAGTCAGATGCTTACAGACTAGGGGAGTTAAGGTCTGGGATCCCTACTGAAAGTTTGTCTACAGCCTGCACAGGACAAGATAGTTTGATTCATGGGAATGTTTTAAAGCTCTGTACTTGTAAAAATCCAGCTGATGAGTGACTGCCTGCTACTTTGTTAAAAATTTTTGTGTGTGCTGCAGAGACCATCAAAATTTGGTAGAAGGAAAAGGCACTATGATCCCTTCTTCCCCCTGTGGCTGCTTCTCAGCACTTCTAGCAGGTTAGAAGCAGTAGAAAGACTGCTGCATCCTGGAGATCCCCCCTGTTGGGGTGCTGTTCTGTTAGATCACTTGTAATGACCCCGCAGTCTGTGGAAAGGCTGGTAATGGGGTATTCTTGTGCGAACAGAAGAGAGCTCTCTCAGCTGGACGTGCCAGGATGGTAAGGATTGGTCTGTGCCTTTATTTGAGTAGGTCACTTACCAAAGCTGCTTGGAAAAATGTACAGTAGGTATTTTTGCTTCCTGATGCTTTGATTCCTGCATGCTGTACTGCTCCAGAAGTTGTGGATGTGATCTGTCTGTGGGCTGTTAATGATTGAGTCTTACCTGCGCTTGGTGATTGTTTCCCTTCCAAGCATGAAGGAAGAACTTGCTTAGAGGTTCTGGACTCTGTAGAAGAAAAAAGATCCTAATGAAGTGACTCAGTTGCTTAGGGAGGCTTTTTTCCTTCATAAAAATCTAGGGAAAACAGTATTAAAGTTAGGGGCCTGAATTTCAAATAAGAAAAGAAAAACCAGACAATTAAGAGGTGAAGACTAACTGTCCTTCAAGTAGAATACAGTGAGTCAGGGCTGAGGTTGGATTCTTTTGACTTGCAGACTCTTAATAGAGTCTTAATAGATAATACAGCTTGAACAGTGATTAATGGAATGTTTCCATGAAATGAGTATCTCCAGGGCTGCACTGTTTCAATAAATAACAGTAATTCTTATTTTAAACTGGTCAGATAATGCACGGTAGTGTTGTCTATTAGGCTTTGTAGGCTATAAATAGCACTGGACCTTTATGCAACCCAGAAGAGAGGTTCCTTTCATTTACTTTTATTCCTGGTTCCTGTGTTAAGTGCAATTCACTTTGTAAATATACACATCACTTGATTTTTGTGCATGGTTATGATGTATTGTGGATATAAAGATTGCCAAATCATACCGTGTGTGTAAAGTTCTGTTCCAGGCACAGCTGCAGAATAAGGTGGGAACATAATTTTGGACCTGGTACCTGGCTGGCTCCAAAGCCCAAGCGCTGTGGTTGATACTAGCATGGGTACCCCTGCCATGGCCAAGGGCGTGCACATTTGGGGCTGTGCCCCTGCAGGGAGCAGCAGTCCAGAGCCGGGAGTTAATTCCCCTCGGTATCCACTACCCCCGGGAGCAGATGTTCTTGAGAAGGCTCTTGCCATCGCTTCAGGACACTGTGTTAGTCCTTGGAGGGGTTCCCGGTGCCCTCTCGCACCCGGCCTGGCAGCGCACGGCCCCGTGTCCTGGTGCTCCTCCACGGAGGGACGGAGGAGGCCGGTTGCCTGCTGTTCCAGAAACAACTACTCCGAGTAAGGCGGGTGTGAGGCCGGCCGAGACCTGAGGCGCAGGACTGCGGCGGAGGAGGGAGGCCTGAGGCCGCGCCGGATCCTCCGGGGGGCGGGTCCCTTCCAGCGGCGGCCCGAGGGGAGGAGGCACCGCCGCGTCGCCGGTCGTCTCCCCGCTCGCTCCCCTCCGGCCTCCCGAAGCCTCGGGTAGGGGCGAGG